AAAAGCGTGTGGTTTGTCAGATCAACTACCAGCCTCTAAAAGCTCCTTTTTTTGTTTTGCTTGTTTGTTTGTTTGTTTTTTTTTTAGCAGTTCCTTTTTGGACAAGAGTTTACACTTGCAAGAGGCTAGCTAAGGTTAGGAGAGCAATCAATGGGAGCAGAGCTTGTCTGAAGAGATATTCAAACAGTGGTACTGGGCCCACTGACAGATTGATCTAAACCATTACACTAATAGAACAAGGTGTACAAGAGTCACAACCATGGTGCCTCGTCTCCAAACTATAGAATGTTTAGGGAGCAAATTCTCTGGGCAATCTTATGTTTAGTTTTATAAGAAATTGCAAGAACTTTTCCCAAAGCGGTTTTACCAATTTACATTCTCATGACAAAATGTATGAGACTTCCGGTGATTTCCCATCCTCTCCAGCATTTCAAGTTGTCTTTATAATTTTAGTCATTCTGATTACCTGGGCAATTTTGAAGGGACAACTGTAGAACCGTTTAATACTGTAGAGTTCTAGGAGTTCTCGACACTTTTTCATTGCTCTTCTCAAGCTTGGGTGATTTTTGTCATAACTGATATCTGAGAAGGAAACATGAAATATTACTTTCTGGCTTATTTCTTTTTTCTTGATTTTGCAAGTCTGGTCAATCCCGAGGTTGAAGTGAATCCTAAGATCTCATTCCTCTTATCTTTCTTACTTGGATAAAAATGCCTGGGGTATGGAGTATGTGTTAATCTGAAGGCTGATTTTTTCCCCCTCTGTTGTCGGACAATATATTAAAAAGTCTGAAAGAAAAAGAAAAGCGCTTTTTGTAAGAACAGAACTTTTGAGTGATTTGGAAGTATAACCATGCCAAACCATTCTGCCACTGGTGAGGACTTTTGAGGGGTTTCGTTATGAAGCTTAGGTCCCCATAAAAAATCATACAGTTTTGCAGTGTCTGATAATTCTGATGTCAGAACTCTCTGTGTCTAGTTTTGCTGATTAATGAGTCTGTCAATACTCCCTCACAGTGCTTTGTTTTCATGTTCCGTGTGACTCATGTTTGTTGGAAATTTATTTATGGGAAGTCTTTGAGTGCTTGGTTGAGGATACTGTCTCTCCAACTGGAAAATAAACCTGGGGGAAGGGATTTCGTCTTTCTTTTTTTTTTTTTTTTTTTTTTTTTTTTGCTGCTTATGTTTTTTTATTTTGTTTCATATTGTGTTGTGTTGTTTGCTTTTTTTTTTCTCTCTCTTTTTTTTTTGTCTTATGTTAATCCCCATACATTACATCATTAGTTTTAGATGAAGTGTTCCGGGACTTCGTCTTTCTTGTTCACCAAGGTACCCCTAGGACAGTAAGTGCTTCATAAATATTTGTTGAATGAATCATCAGTTGTATTTCCTTGGCTATATGTCTTGGTAGACAGTCCTCATATTCAGAGCTGCCCAGAGATGCGATGGCCATTTTGGGAAGCACAGAGCTTCCTTGGGATGAAGAAGCCCAGGCAGGGCAACTACTTGGTGGGGGTAGATTAGACTGAGATGCAAACGCTGGTGGGACACTGGGCTAGATATCTTCTAAAGTCTCTCTTAGGTGGAGGGGAGGGGGGCAATGGTTCATTCTTTGACCACAGTGGCCCTCTTTCTATTTTTCAAACTCCTCAAGTTCATACCTCCTTCTCCCTCTGCTCAATATGCTCTTCTTACATCTTTACCTGGCTAATGTTTCTTATTTTTCAGGTTATCTTCAGAGAGGCCTTTTCTGAACCCCACAACTAGATGGGATTCTTCCTCATGGCCCCTGTAATTCCCCTTTAGCACTTATCTTGGTTTATAATAACAGAGTTATTTGCTGATTCTTTGATTGTTTGATTCCCCCACTAGACTACATGGTATGTAAGGATTGGACCACTTGTGTTCTGGTTACTCTTAGATCCTGAGTAAGCACTCAGAAAACATTTATGGGATAAATAAATAAATGAAGGCCCAAATGATGGCAAGAACTTCTTCCACTTCTGACCAAACTAATCACTCCAGTTTGTCCACAGGGCCACGTGTTTAGCTGCTCCAACTCCATGGCCATGCAGATGGCCGACACTGATGGGCGTGATCCAGTTCCTGATTTTGATTATTAAGTCAGTGTTGCTTCATCTCTGCCTGCGGACTATGTACCTTTCTTTTTATAAACCACCTTAAGAAGTCTTTCTAGAAGGTGGGGAATGAGGGCACAAAGAGGGTTGGTGCTTGCACTGCGCTAGAGGACTGACTCGGGGCCTCGCTGCCTTCAGCAGCACCTTACACTTCAGCCTTAGGGTGATATGCAGCAGGTAGTGCGTGCCCGCCGCGGCCTCCTCCGCTACCTCCTTCACTGGGTCCCCACACAGTAGCGCCAGCAGAGCCACTCGGTGCCCAAGCCTTTGGAATCGCAGTGGAAGCTAGTTAGGAAGAAAAAGAAAAAATGCCATTAGCATACAGGTGCATTTTATGCCTTAGATTTGAATTCTTGAGAAGTAATTCCATTTCTACCCCCTACTCAGGAAAGTGCAAGAGTCACATTCAGCCCTTGGATCTCTTTAGGGTAAACATTTAACAGGTGTAGATACACTATGTCCATCAGATGGTATTAAATAGGACAAAGTCTAACCTAAATCAGCAATCTGAAAAATGAAAAAGATGTTCATTCTAAAAGGATTAAATTCTACTTTAAAAAAAAAAACGCAAAACACTAATTTCTTGTTTAAATTGATGACCTTCTGGGGTGCCTGTGTGGCTCAGTCGTTAAGTGTCTGCCTTCGGCTCAGGTCATGATCCCAGAGTCCTGGGATCGAGCCCCGCATCGGGCTCCCTTCTCCATGGGAAGCCTGCTTCTCCCTCTCCCACTGCTTGTGTTCCTGTTCTCACTGTCTGTCTTTCTGTCAAATAAATAAATAAATAAAATCTTAAAAAAAATAAAAATAAATTGATGACCTTCCCATATGTTCCAAATGGAACAAAAAAGCTAAAACCTGTTATTTCTATTAACATTAATTGTTTTTTTTTAAAGATTTTATTTATTTATTTGAGAGAGAGAGAATGAGAGAGAAGAGGGTCAGAGGGAGAAGCAGACTCCCTGCTGAGCAGGGAGCCTGATGTGGGACTCGATCCCGGGACTCCAGGATCATGACCTGAGCCGAAGGCAGTTGCTTAACCAACTGAGCCACCTAGGCACCCAACATTGTTTTTAAATCAGGTTTTTCAAATGTTAGAAACAATGGTGCCCTTATCTGCTCAGACCTAAGAAAGAACATTTTAAAGTGGTGTTATATAGGAAACGATTATGTTTCGATTTTGTACTAGTTAAAAAGTGCTAAATTTAACTACATGAAATTATTGTTTACAGATTAGTGACAAGGGCTGATGATAGGATCCAGTTGGGCTGTGATTTCTAGATGCCCTCAAACATAGAGTACTTCTATGCTCAAGTCCAGCCAGAAGCTATTTTGCTAACATGCCAGAGTAATCTGTATTTTTATGTGATTTCTACTTTTATAGACGTGTTTTAAAATAAAACACATTTTTATAAAAATGAAAAATAAATAGGGGTGCCTAGGTGGCTCAGTCAGTTAAGTGTCTGCCTTCTACTCAGGTCATGATCCCAGTGTCCTGGGATCAAGCTCCACATAGGACACTGTGCATAGCAGGGAGCCTGCTTCTCCCTCTCCCTCTGCGCTGCTCCCCCTGCTTGTGCTCTGCCTCTCTGTCAAATAAGTAAATAAAATCTTTTAAAAAAATGAAGAAAAAAAAAAAAGATGTTCTTTCTAGTACTGTTTTTAAAGGCCACGTATTGGAAATCATTGCCCAATAGTAAAGAGAACTATGGTACAACCACTCTATGAATAAACCATTAGGAATCAAGTATCCTAGGAATTTATAAAAAGGTGGGAAAATGTGCTAGTCTGCTAAGTGAAAAAGCTGGATGCAAAGTTGAGGTGCACCATTTAATACAATTAAAAAAATTTGTTTAGGGGCGC